TCAGGTTCTGTCTCTCTCTCTCTCTCTCTCTCTCTCTCTCTCTCTCTCTCTCTCTCTCTCTCTCTCTCTCTCTCTCTCTCTCTCTCTCTGTCTCTCTCTCTTACCTGGCCTTGGTGCTATGCAGTTGTTATCCCAGCAATTGGGAGGGGAGGCTGAGGCAAGAGGACTTCCATGTGTTCAAAATCTCCATAGACTACAAGAGTTCTAGGACTTTTTTCTATATGTTTAAAACATCCTTGGACTACATGAATTCTAGGTTAGCCTAGGCAAGGTCCTGCCCTAGAAATTTTTATATAAAAATTCCTGACCTAAATTACTTCATTGGCATAAACTCATTTTTATTACCTGTTACTTTAAGTGTCTCACTGCAGATAACAAGGCCCTCTTTTTTTTAACATAATGCCCCCAAATCTAAAGAGCTTTAGGGTCCCATGACATGAACTGGGGGCAAATGTCAAGGTTATAAAAGTAGTACTGTATTGTGGTTTTGAGTCATATTCCCTAAATTACGAGCAACTATGAACCTCTTTTCACTTACTGCCCATTGGCATATGGTTTCTGGAAAATGTCATTTTGAATCACTTTCCTGTCTTTAAAGATTAGGCTGTTTTTATGTTGTTTAGTTATAGCATTAGACACCTTTTGTATATTAATCCTCTATTAAATAAGAATACCAGCATTTTCCACCATCCTGTGAGCTGCTTCTTTTTTCTTTTTTTTTTTTTTTTTCTTATAAAGGACAACATTTAGTTGGGGCTGGCTCACAGGTTCAGAGGTTCAGTCCATTATCATCAAGGTGGGAGCATGGCAGCATCCAGGCAGGCATGGTGCAGGAGGAGCTGAGAGTTCTACATCTCCATCTGGAGGCTGCTAGTGGAAGACTGGCTTTCAGGCAGCTAGGACTAGGGTCTTAAAGCCCACACCCACAGTGACACACCTACTCCAGCAAGGTCACACCTCCAAATTGTGCCACTCCCTGGGTTGAGGATATGCAAAGCTTCTTTGCTCTTTTGATAGTGTCTTTTATATTCAAGTTTTCTTTTAATGTAGCCCAACTTATCTAGGATCTTCTCTTAACTGTGCTTTTGGTATTATTCCCAGAAGTTATCACCACATCAGATGCTGTCTACTCTTCCCCTGGGAGTGTATTTTAGCTCTGATCCGAGGTGAGCTGTTTCATACTACCAAAGATGGACACTGTCTACCTTCTTTTCTGGCAGGAGGTCACCCAGTTTTCCCAGCCTCTTTGGTAAGAGGATTGTCCTTCGGATGGCACTGACATCTGTGTCGAAAATCACCCACCATCTCTTAGGCCGTTGCCGTTTCTGTGCCGCGTCTTCAATATGTATGGGAAACAAGCTCCTAGGCTCCTTCAGTGTTCCTATCACATATTTTCTAACAATAAAAGTATGCGTAGTGTGGAATGGCGGAGGCGTTGCCGAACGTAATACATGAGTATGATAATAAATGGAGACAGACAAGAATGGTTCAAAATGATTTAAAGCACCTCTTTATTATCGATAGGTAAATGTGGTTTGCTGAGGTTAACAGTATGCTTGTAACAGATGAACAACAGGCTCGCCCATAGGGCAAGAAGCACCGTCTCCTTTGCTATTGAACTCACATTGTTCTCTGACAACAAGACTGAATGGGCTGAGCTTAGTTTTAGTGGAAAAAGTCTCCCTCGTGTATGATGTTGCTTCAAAGACTATAAAATTCTTTTAAGCATTGTATTTCGGATAGGTGAAAGAAAAATCATTGAGTACTACAAAGCAAGTATTTTCTACAAAGCATAAATATAACATTTTATAATTTAAAACAGCAGCAATTTCCAAAGGATTGGCTGAATTTAAACTTTACACAATATTTATATATATATACAAAATATCATTCCAGATGATCTTGGAGTTTTAAAACAGTATATCACAAACACCAGTTTCTAATCCAAACCTACCACTGGATATAGGTGGCCTGAAGTACTTTTTACAGCAATTTAAAGAAGAAAAACAACAAAAGAAAAGTCCCAGGTCTCTTGTCCATACACACGAGTTACAGCATGCTGGCTTCGATTCCATGTGCACAAAGAGAATTTTAAAATAAAATAAGGACCTTGCATAAATAACTTTGCTTGATATTAATTGTGAGACCAAACAAATGGAAATAAGTATTAACAATTAAGACATATTTGGATGTAACCAGTACATACACTCTTAATGACGAAGATGAAGAAAGGAATAAGATAGTCTTATGAGAGCCACAGCACCCTGTCTTGGGAAACAGCACCAAGCAACACCAAAAGGAAACACAAAAGAGGTAGTGTGCACTGCTAAGATTTTATATGCCCACAGGGGACCTGAACACAGCTTAGTGTTTGGGACTAGGTGCTGCAGACTGGCTTGCAGTTTTAGACGGACACATCCCACCGTTTGGAGCACTATCCAGTACTGCTCCATGGCGCCCTGCAGCTCCGGCTGTCTCATGGGACGAAAGCACAGGAAACCCTCCAAGTAAGAATTCCAAGTCTATACAATTTCAGTTCTAGGGAATTCCTTATGAAAACTCAGATCAATAAAAAAATTTAAGAGAATTAAATACATTATCAATCATAGTCCTTTAAAAAAAAATGCCATTTCTCCTTAGGAGGAAATTGTTTCTTCCTGAGATTTCTTAAGATTTAGCCCCTGTCTTTTTCTTTTTACCACCCACACTTCATAACGACATACCTTTCTATCTACATTTCCCTCTCTGCAGTTACCTGGCCAACAGCATGGTTTCCATGTTGACCCGGGGACCTTAGAGAAAGCACACGGAACTGCTTTCGATGGAGTACTTTTGCTCAGTTCTGAGATGAGGAAGGTTTTGGACTTCAGTCACAGGAAGCTGATTAGGATTTTGGGTGTGAAAAAGGAATTTCGCCTTGTGCCAGCTGCCATCCTGAATCTGTAAAAGAAGGACCAAAATGCTTTCATATGTAATGGCCTTTCCAAGGAGTCCAAGGCCAAGTTCAGCAAATAACACCCTTCCTAGACAACGGGGACTCTTTTCAGATGTAGAGCCAGCTCTGGGGGAGGGAGGGGAGCTCAGCAGCTGGGGAAGGAACCGCAAGTTTGAGACCTACTTGAACTACTGGTGGGAGAGGTGGGGGGAGGGTGAAGAGAGAGAGAGAGAGAGAAAGAGAGAGACAGAGAAAGAGAGAGAGACAGAGAGAGAGAGACAGAGAAAGAGAGAGAGAGAGAGAGAGAGAGAGAGAGAGAGAGAGAGAGAGAGAGAGAATAGAAAAGAAAACATTTATAACAGTGCTAAATACATAGTAATTACTACCAATCAAAAAACTGGAAGTCTAGGATGTTCCTTTTCCTTATTTCCTCCCTTTCCCATATCTCCTTCCCCTCCCTTCTCTCTCCACCCCCACACCATACTGGAGATTAAACCTAAGTTTTTCCACTTGCTAGCAAGCATTCTATCATTGGGCTACACCCTGAGACTCTTTATATACTAATCGGATTAATAAGCTACCTGCCATGCTAACACAACACCGTTTTTTTTTTTTTAATAATACTTAAAGACAAGGTAATAAACTGCTCAGGCTGGCTTTGAACATATGGCCCTCAGTCTCCTGAGTGCCTAAACCTACAGACCTGTACCACCAGACCCATTGTGGTAGTGCTAATTGTCAGCAGAACCAGGAATTATCTGGGAGATCAGCTTCCAATCGTGTTAGTAGGGCATTACTATATTACACTGAGTTGGGAAAACCTTTCCACAGTGGGTGGCAGTATTTCCTAGACAGGGGACCCTGGACTACATATGACAGAAAGCCAGCTAAGCACTAGCATGTGTGTGTTCCTTGATACTACGACTACATGTGAACAGCTCTGACCCATAATAAACCTTTTCTTCTCTTAAGTTGCTTGTGCCAGAGTGTTTTACTACAGCATAGAGAAAAGAAGCAAAGACATCAGGCTTCCTTTCTCTGCGATAGCATTGTCTTCCAATTTTCCTTGCCAGAGGCTAATTGTGCTCTCTCTCTCTCTCTCTCTCTCTCTCTCTCTCTCTCTCTCTCCCTCTCTCTCTCTCCCTCTCTCTCTCTCTCTCTCTCTCTCTGATGTCTGTGGGTAACTGTAGCAGACAGGAGTTAAAAGTCTGCAGGATTCCCAATAAGGCTCTGACCCATCCATTCCTTGTTCATGTAATTATTTCTCTGTTTGGTGTGTGTGTGTGTGTGTGTGTGTGTGTGTATGTGTGTGTGTGTATGTGTGTGTGTGTGTGAAGTTAGTAGAAAACTAATGAGAGTTAGTTCTGCCCTTCCACCACATGGATCCCAATGATTAAAGTTGGGTCGTTAAGCTTGGCAGTAGAACTTTAAGCACTGGCCATCTTGCTAGTTCCTGTTCCCTGGTTTTCTTCAGGCTGGCCATTTTTCTTGAGTAAAAGAGGACTGGTTATCACAGTCTCTCTATATAGGTAGTAGATAACTAGGATTGTCTTAGTTAGAAGCAGTTAAACGATCATCATATCGAATCCTCTTGAGTTCCCTTCCCCTTTCCAAGTCCAGGGTTTTCTATTTGTCCAGCTTTCTTTTTTGTTCTGCCTCTGCTTTTCTCATTACTGCAGCTTCTGCTATTTATGATAAATGATATGGTCAAAGCTGTCATGAAATGTTTTGTGTTAAATACTCAACATGAGAGAGCAGAGAAAGAAACACAATCGCTGAAGCATTTTAGTCAGAAGCCAATTTACTTGCTCAGGGTCTTGCCATGGTCTGAATTTTAAAATCAGATGATCTTTCATGATTATTGAAGCTAATGTCTGCATGTTAAAGCCAAGACCATTGAAGTTTACCAATAAGTTACTTGTCTGATGTCCTAAAGTTGCCCATGATAACCAGACCTAGAACTTGGAAAGGCTGTTAGATGCGTTCACTAGCTAGTCAAGCAGATGCTGAACGTGCTGCTGCCCACGAGGCATAATTGAATGAGCTGTCATTTTTAATTTTATTACAGTGGTTGGGAAACACAAAGGTGACTAACTTAGTTCTGACATCTGAAGTAAATAGCTTAGCAATTTGACTAGGAAGAAGAGACATAAATAAGTAATGCAAAAAAAAAAAAGCCATGGATGGTAAGGATAAGACACAGCACACAGAGAGAGTCCACTGACCGTAAGGGCAAAGTACACTGTGCAGACAGAGACTGTGTATAGTAAGAGCAAGACATAGCACACAGACTGTACAGTAAGGGCAAGATACATCATGTGGACAGATATGCATACTAAATTCTTTATTGCTAGAGAAATCTGGAAATGGTTATGGGATTAAGAATTTAGCTGAGTCTTAAAGAATGCCAGAAACTTCCAGATGGTGAGAGAAGTCAAGAAGGGTACTGCAGAGAAAATATGACAACAATGGAAAGTCCAGGTGACAACAACAAATGCCCCCGGGGCCAAGTAACTACAGAAAGGCAAGGCAACAACAACAAATGCCCTGGGCCAAGTACAGATGGTAAAGTATCTAGTTGTGACGTAGGTCTAGCACAGCACTGGGAACACCACCTGGAAAAATGGCAATGGAAATTTAGGCAATGAGATTTTCCTCACATCTTATTTGTTTGTCTGGGTGATGTCTCGTGTAGCCAAGGCTGGCCTTGAGTGCCTAATCCTTCTGTCTCCACATTGTGTAACTGCTGAGTTTATAGTGTATACTATCAAGCCTGCCTTGGACTAAGTTTTCTTTACAAATGTAAAGATTAATAAAATAATCTATGCACTAAATGACCAATTCTAATCTAAAAAAATCAATAAATAGTAGGAGTTGTTGTTGGTATAGTAATAAATAGATCAGTTTGGCCATAGAATACAGTAGCAATCAGTGAAAGCCCAACCTAGAAAGTAGGTTGGTGCCCGAGTGACTGTCATTGAGCTCATTGATACTTAGATTGTATCTCAGAGGTGCTAATGAGCCACAGTACATTTCTGGGATGGAGTAAAAGTTGCGTGCATTTGTTGGGAATATTGCTTGTGATTGTTTGTGTATGCTTGGCCCAGGAAGAGGCACTATTAGAAGGTGTGGCCATATTCGAGTAGGTATGGCATTGTGTGTGTGGGCTTTAAGACCCTCATCCTAGCTCCCTGGAAGTCAGTCTTTACCCTTTCCTTCAGAACAAGACATAGAACTCTCAGCTCCTCCTGCAGCATGCCTGCCTAGGCACTGCCAGCTTACCTCTTGATGGTAATGGACTGAATCTCTGAACCTGTAAGCCAGCCCCAATTAAATGTTGTCCTTTATAAGAGCTGCCTTGGTCATAGTGTCTGTTCACAGCAGTAAAACCCTAACAGAGACACTGCTCTTTTCAAAGAAAGAGAATCTGAGCAATCTGCCTCTGACCATTCACCTATGAAAGGAAGTGTTATAAAAAGATGGTCTTCAAGAAATGGCAAGAAACGTTAAATCAGGGATGTACTTATACACCAGGGCAGGAAACAAAGCTGCTAAAAATAATTAACGAAATAATTAATTACATTTACAATTAAATTTGCCATAGTATCTATTGCTTCATCTCAACAGAAAAAAAAAAAAAAACGTGAGCTAAAGTCAATTATCAAGAGGGGCCGTCAGTCCACAGTCGCATTCGTCTTTTTCTGTTATAAGAATTAGCAAAATCAAATTAACTGATGACTGCACGACACCTTCCATGCATCAGTTAAGATCTAGAGATCAAAAACATGAAATAAATGTATGTGCATGCTATGTCAGTCAGTTGACCAGGTGATCTCCAATCCATCTGTTCATCTACCCAGATGCAATTATTTTATCTGAGGAGTAGCAGCTATGGATTAACATTTGCTTTACATGTAAACATCCGAAAGTAGGGGTTGGAGAGGTCGTTCATCAGTTAAGAGCACATACTGCTCTTGCAGAGTTTGGCTTCCAGCACCCACCTCGGACAGATCACAGTTGCCTAGAACTACAGCTCCAGGGGATCTAACATTCTCTTTTAGCTTCCATGGGTACTAATACACACATGGCACACACAAACACACAAAGATACACACTCATACACATAGTTAAATGAGGGGCTGGTGAGGCCACTCAGTCATCAGGAACGCTTGTGTCTTTTGTAGAGGATGCTGGTTTGGTTCTTAGCACCCACATGGTGGCTCACAACCATCTGTGACACCAGTTCCAGGCGATCCAGTGCTCACTCTGACTTCAGAAGGCACCAAGCATACATATGGTGCACATATATACAGACAGGCAAAACATTTACACACATAAAAATGTCCCTAAAAATAAAATAAATCTTTAAAAAGACATATTAAAAATCCATGGGTAAGCTGGGCATAGTAGGTAGCACTTGGGAGATAGAGGCAGGGCAGGTGGATCTCTGTGAGTTCGAGGCCAACCTGGGCTACATAACAAGCTCAAGGATATCCAAGACTTCATAGAGAGACCCTGTTCTAGAAAAATTAAACATGATTATCCATAATTATCTATTAACATAACAAAATTTGACTATTTATCTGAGATATCTAGATATATATGTATTATGTATAAACATATACAAATATGTATGTATATACACATAATGCATAAACAACATGTATATGTATGTATAAACAATCGCTCTATATATGTATTTATACATATACATACATATGTACATATGATGATTGCTTATGGAAAACATAGGTATGCCAGGGACTTTACAGCAGCACTCTTCTGTAGTTTGTAAGGAAAGTCTTTCCTCATTTTAAGACACATTTCTAAAAGAGCTGTTCTCTTACCTTGCAGTCATCTGAGAGGATCTGAGGTTCAAGTAGAGTGTTTTCTTCAAAAATCTGACCATTCCATCCTTTGAAGCTAATAGGCCACTCAGGACCATCTGGCCGTGTGCTGGCCCACCTCGGGGTGCTCAGACAGTGAATGGTGATCATGTGGGTGGCTTCTGAGCTCAGCAACTGAAGAAAGTTCATCTGTACTTTGCCGACTCCAAACTCCAACTAGAGTCATAGAAACAAGAGTCACGTCATAACACAGGGTGACTTAGAAACATCTAATATGGAGAAACTTACGGAAGGGCGGCCTCAGAAATTTGGAATCTGCATGCCAATAGATGGTATACCGGCTGCTGGAGGTTTAATTGCTGGTTCCTGGTCGGGAGTGAAGATCTGTGATTCTGATTATCAGGGCAGAAACACTGCAGCCAGGCTACAAAGTGATGCCAGGGGGCATGGACTGGGAGAGTATGGTGAAGAAAGGTTCTTGTGAGTCTGTATAAACTGACCACAGCATATCGTTAGGCTATTGTATATAATAAAATAATTTTTATAATGTCACTTGAAATACAGTAATAACTGTTATTTGCTTGGCATGATGCTATAATCTGTTTTCATGAGAATCTTCATTTGAAATTATCTTGATGTGGTTGCCTGTTGATTACGTGGGGGTGTAGCACCCACCTGACCGAGATGTTAAGAAGCTTAGCTTGGTAGGTTTTGTAACTGTTGAATCCTGATCAAGCAATTAACAATTTTTTTTCCAAAACCTTTCCTGTAACTCTCTTGACGTGTGTCTATTAATATTGTTTTGGCTCTGGTATTAGTAGTTTTACTATTCAACATTAATAAATTTTCATGCTGGAAACAAAAACCACAAAACCAGAAGGGGAAAAAAAAAACACACTGTGGAGCAAGCCCTTCGGTCATTTCACCTCCAGGGTGCTCTTCAGCACATACTCCTGACTGCTGCTCTCTCTACTGCCTATCACCGGGACAATCGATTTAGTCACGGAAGCAGCTACAACATTGTTTGTCACTGTCCCCACCTCGTTTGTTCAATATTTCCCTTCTTTATCTCCGGTCTACAAAAATCTGTATGGAAATCCTGAGGCAACTTCTGGGGCATTGAGGGCAAGGATGTGGACATGTATTTTATACAGAGAACTAGTGTGTTTCTCTTCAGTTAGGAGAACATGGATCCTCTAGGAACAGAGCAGTGCTCCTTCCTCTGTTCTTAAGAACAGTGGTGACTATCCACTGAGATTTCCTACTATGAAGCCATGCTCAGCCAAGGGGAACAGCCCCACAGAAACCAGCTTCAGACCGTGTTTTCCAGTCTTCTAAAGATGGGTGGAACACATGATAGACGTATGTGTTAGCACTTTGCTAACACATGAGGAAATACTCCAAGCTGGTTTAATCAGAAAAAGAAAGAGTTATGATTTTGATTTCAAGATGTTATAAATAGAACCAGGCTTTGGGTTTTTAAGATACTTGTAACTGTTACTGTTCCATGAAACAAACCCCACATTCTTTCTTAATAGTACATTTTCAGAATTAATCTTGAAACTTAAAAGGCGTATTCAGTGAACGTTTACAGGCTGTTGTTTTATGCTAATCCCAGGAATGCAGCTTTTGTAGCAAAATTATTTTACTGATAATTCAAATTTCAACAAAGTTATAGGTTGTGGCTGTAGACTATTGATCAGAATGGTGCAGCTGCTTGGAGATTGTCTAAGGTCTGTGTGTGTTTAAAAACACAACAATGTGCTGCACACACTTTAGGGAACTGAAGAAACAAGATCCATGAAGCACACCATGCTGAACCGATCATAGAATGTATAATCAAAGTGTCAAGATATATGGAAAATATTTTTTTTTAGAACAATGAGAACTGGAGATGTGGCTCAGTGATTGGGAACAATTGACACTTTCAGAGGACTTGGGTTCAATTCCAAGAACCCAGATGGTGGCTCACAGCCCTCATCACTTCATTTCCAGGGATCTGCTATCTTCTAACCCCTCCAAGGATCAGACATCTACATGTTGCACACATATACACACAGGCAAACATTGCTATATATAACAAATATATATATATATATACATATATATATATAATTTTTTTTTTTGGTTTTTCGAGACAGGGTTTCTCTGTGTAGCCCTGGCTGTCCTGGATCTCACTCTGTAGACCAGGCTGGCCTTGAACTCCGAAATCCACCTGCCTCTGCCTCCCAAGTGCTGGGATTAAAGGCATGCACCACCACTGCCCAGCTAAAATATTTTTAACATTGAAAATATTTCTCATATATGATAGAGAATTGTGAATGGCAACATTTTAATTTCATTCTTAAAAACTAGAAATTATATGATGGCATTAAAAAAAATTCCTGTTAGCGAATACAATACACAAGCACATGTTCTAAAATTCAGTACGCACCTTTGTCACAGAAACAGGAGATAAACATGTCTGGCCTCCAGCACTAAAGTTGCAGAAAACCTCAAAAGCATCTGAAGAGCATCCAAGATTTGGGTCAATCCAGTATTTTCCTATTAATTTATAACAAACACAAAGTTATTTCAATCTCATACTAAACTATATGAACGTATGTATTGTCACATCTGTGAACAAAATCTCCTGGAAAGAAGCTGTGTCAAGCAAGCAGGGACTGATTGGCTGATTAGAATTTCAGTACTGGGAAGAGATTTGAATGTTTAAGGGCCAGATGCTAATCTCCTGCTCTTGGGCTAGCTCCAGCCTCCCCAGAACAGCTATTCCTTGCCCACCACTGTGTCTGGACTAGTGCCTTGTGACTAACAGATAGAAACTCTTTAGAATCCATTGACTTAGCAGACTGTTAGCTTCCACCAAGACAGAAGCTAAGTATGTCACCAGACTGCATCCTGAGCCTGTGGAAAAGCTCTCCCATCTCACAGTGCCCACCTCTCTGATGTACACACCAAAGTATTGCAAACTACCTTCATTTACAACTTTCTTTGTCCTGGAAAACTAGAAAAGCTTATAAAACTTTATAAAACAGCTTCCACATTGGAACACTGAATCTGGAGTAACCTAGTTATGTGTCCCTCAAGCCATGATCACTCACAACGGCCTCAGAACAAGCTACCTCTTATTCCCTTTTAAGTTGAGAGCTGTGCTAGACACATGTTGACACATGCTGACACATGTTGACACATGTTGACACATCTTACCTGTTAAAATACGTAACTGATTGTAAATATATACATTTAGTGAATGAACGAAAGCTCTACCCCACAAAAACTGTTGCCCAGAACTATATTTTCAAGCACCTACCAATTTGAAAGACATTTTGTAATCTTAATCAAAATGATGGGTAGGCTGAGGAGGTGTCAGTGAAGGCCTGCCTGTGAGATTGATGGGCAAAGGGACTTAACTGCTGGGCTTGCCGACCCTGGCACCCAATGGTGGAAGGAAGTTGCTCATCATTTCTTCTAGATTTTCCCCCCGCTACTGTGTGAGCTATTTTTGTCTCAATAAAAGATGATCCACCAAGCTTTCGTTGTCTGGGTGGAGCCAAGCTTTGAACTCAGGCACCATGTCGCACGACACTGATTGAGTAAGAGTCTCATGGTAACACGATCACTGGTTTATCTTAAGTCGATTTTATGTGCCTTATGGCTCTTGTGAACCCAAAGTTTCTAATTCAAAATGGCCTCTGCCCCGAGGGCATTGCTTCTCCTTCGAGCTCGTTCATTCCAGTTCTGCCCTGGCCTCCTAGTGCTGGAGTGGGAAGGCATCCCTCCCGCTGCTCCATCCAGACCACGCTCCTTACACCTGTCCTCCCTTGAAACAGTCCATGTCAAAATGACCACCATCCTGTTGCATCATGTGTTATCGTCTCTCAGGGCAACTACTCAGTATGTCAGCTCCTGGCTGGTTACTACTTTCAGAAACATGTATGTACAACGTCATTCTTGTTGTTTTGTTTTAACCCACACGAACACATACACCTTGGTTCCCTCTGTTCCTGACATTCCAATGTCTATAATTCCAACAACCATCAATGTCCGAGGCTATCTATCCTAACCTGCTCTCCAGTTCAACCTCCTCAGCCACTTCGGCTCTCTGCTTCTTCCTGCTTAATACCTTCTAGTTCTTTAATCAACAGTTTTCCTTTTTATATTTCATCAGGACCAACTTCCTATGACCTCATCAGTTCTTTTTTAAAAATTATTGGTTATTTTACTTATTTACATTTCAAATGTTGTCCCCTTTCCCATTTCCCCTCCCCAACCCACCCATCCCATGCCCTCTGCCTCTATGAGGGTGTTTCCCCACCCCCCTACCCATTCACTCACTCATTTACTCCTGCCTTACTGCCCTAGCATCCTCCTATGTTGGGACACCCAGCCTTGACAGGACCAAGGGCCTCTCTTCCCATTGATACAAGATAAGGCCATCCTCTACTACATATGCAGCTGGAGCCATGGGTCCCTCCATGTGTACTCTTTGGTTGGTTTGGTTTAGTCCCTGGGAGCTCTGGAGGGTCTGGTTGGTTGATGTTGTTCTTCCTATGGGGTTGTAAACCACTTCAGCTCCTTCAGTCCTTCCCCTAACTCCCTCATTGGGGTTTCCATACTCAGTCTGATGGTTGACATGTGTAACCCTTGAAGAAGGAATGAGAGAACCAGAGGCCCATGCCAGGGAGCAGCATTGGGGCAGCTGATCTGTTGTCATCAGTTCTTAAAGTCCTTATGTCACTTCCTTTTTTTGCCTAAAGTTCAGAGTCCTTTGCTCCACTGAAGGCTGTTCCTTAGGTAAATTCTGAACCCTCGTGTCCTATGACCCCACTGTATCTGTCCTATAAAGCCTTATCCTAAACAAGATTCACTTTTCTGACTAATCTGTAAAAAGCAAAACTGAGCTGGCTGGATTCACCTCCACTGAAAATGTTCTGGAAATAAACTTTTTAGCAAAACAAAAAGAAATAATATTTATAGTACGGGTGACTTCAGACTAAACAAAAATGGAAAGGAAATGAAATCGTTTTCGACAGTTAGTGTTTCTCTTACTTAAGTGGTGACCGATCTCTGGGTTTAGGATGTTTCCTTAACGATTTTCTCTAAACTCATTTTTATTCTCCTGACCTTCTAAGGGTGATAAACCACTCCAGTTTGATATTTGCCGATCCTAGTTGGGGTATATTTAAGGTCTATTAAATGACATTTATAGGGAGTGCTCTGGAATATGATGTAAAAAAAATGTGAACTTTGATGGTTTTGAATTAGCAAGGCCTCTGGTAGATTCTTGTCTATCACCCCAACGTTACATTCCCCTACTTTGATTTAAATATGATGTATACTTTTGCAAATACGAAGTGCGAACAAAGCACAGGCATTCGTTTTTTTCACAAGTATATCTTCCTCAAAGACCATTTCAGTTTTGATGAGGTTATGACGGGTTGTGTTGATATCTTATCAACGTGGCAGATATTGAAGTGAATGCATTACGGATCCCAAATGTTTCGAAATGATGAAGTTAGACTTCATGTTTTGAAATGATGAAGTTGCGAATCTGACAGGAAGGACTTACCATCTGAAACCTTGTACTGACAGCTGAGTAAATCCTTGCAGATCCGTGCTGGGTTTTCTCGTGTGCCAAGAGGATTCTTGATGCTGCTCAGGAGACTGCTAAGGTAGGTCAGGGTTTTGAATATTTCTGAACTGTGGTTGATTAAAGTCACTTCAGTGTTCTGGTAACTCTGCCAAGTTATCATAAGAATCATATAAGCAAGAAAACTCCAATAACAACTTGGACAAAGCAGAGTGAGACTGTGATCCCAGTTGCTTTTAGGGAGATTGGAATAGGAAGGAAGGAACATTTTTTTTTTTAATCTAACCATGTACATACCTATTAGCCCTGAATCCCAATAGGAGGACAAGCTTTAGTTTGTAAGCTGACAAGAGACTTAAAGAAATATTATGCCTACTGAATCGTGCTTTTAAAACTCCATATCAAATAATTAGAGTTTTAAATTTTATTTTAAACTTTACTTAAAAATGTTGCAAGTCAGAAAAAAAATCACACTGAAATTAGCCAGAACCAAAGACTATTTAACGTAATGATTTCCTGCACAGTTAGAAGAACAGCGTCTCCTACACAGTTAGAACAGCCACTCTGAAACTCTGGAGCACCACACCCAGCGTTTACAAAGTTTATGTTCTTATCCACCAGCCAATAGGAAAACCCACAACAGAAGGAGAACTAGAAAAGCAATTAGCTTTATATCCGTGTTCATAAGTTCCAAGCCCACTGTGTGCCTGGAGTCTTCCTCATGCTCTAACACTTAGCTTGTTGAGTTCTCTTTCCCACACGTTACACCACACACACACACACACACACACACACACACACACACACACACACACACA